GCAACGTTAGGTTTTCTTTTTTTCAAATTTTTTCGCCTAACAGTAGGGTTTTTCAGTCGAGTACAGAAAAGTTATAAACAGAAAATACTTGAAGACATGAATCAGTCCAACACCCTTAAAAATTTTGGTGGCAGTCCCCCAGCTGGGGAAAAACATTGTTTCCTTGTCTGAAACAAATGAATTTAAGTGACGAAGGGCTTTTTAAAAGTGCCAGGGGTGAAACGTAGGGTTTCTTTGGGGGGCAGGTCCCTCTCAAACCCAGCCTTTTCACTAGTAGAGGGGCGAATTTGGCTGTACCAAGAACCCTTTTGTTGCAGGTCCCGACAGAATGAACATTAAAAGGTATAAAATACCGACAGATTGTTAGGTAAGACACATAAAGAACAGTTAGGTTCTTTATTTTTGAAACGTTTCGCCTACAAGTAGGTTCTTCTCGATACAGAAAATTTTATAGAAGCAGAAATACTTGAAGACATGTAATCATTCCATCACCCTTAAAATTTTTAGGTGGTCAGTCCCTCATCTGGAGAAAACATGTTCCGTGTCTAAACAATATGAAGTTTAATACAGAAGGGGCTTATATATGAAACGGCGGGTTTTTGAGGGACCGCCCTCCCAAAGCAACCTACGTCTCACCTCCTGGGACAAAAAAAACCCCCTTCGTCACTCAACTTCATATTTTTTCAGACAACGGAACAATGCTCTTCTCCAGACTGGGGACTGACCACCTCAAAAAACTTTAAGGGTGATGGACTGATAAAATCGTCTTCAGTATCTTCTGCTTCTACAACTTTTCTGTACCGACTAAAAAAAACCTACTGTGTAGGCGAAACGTTTCGAAATAAAGGAAAACTAACTGTTCATATGTGTCTTACCTAACAATCTGTCGGTATTTTTACCATTTTAATGTTCACACTGACCCCTGAGGAACACCGCTCGTGACGCTTCCCCACTCTGATTTCTCCCCATTTATGCAAACTCTCTGCTGCCTATTTGTCAACCGTGCCTCTATCCAGGAAAAAATTTCTCCTCCTAGCTGTAATAAAGAACAGTAGTAAAGGGTAGGTAGTAGCAGAATTTTGATAAATCAGACACATGTGCAACACTTGGGTATCTTTATTGAGGAAACGCTTTGCCACACAGTAACTTCATCAGTCCTATACAAAGAAGAATGGTGATGATCAGAAGGAGTTCGAGTCAGTTAATCAGTCCATCAATTTTGGTTCTCTGAACTATTTATCTACAGTAGCGGAAGTGCATCAGAGCAAAACATAAGGACAACACAGGAACGCTGCTGGGGATCTACCGGCCCACTCCAGACGGCAGAACTAATGAAAGAATAATGATAATGAATCACGTCTCAAGGTGGTGGAGACTGAAGGATCTCAACGCTAATACCTGGGAGACAGAGCTACCATAGGCCTTCTAGCCCAAGATAGGAAAGACAGATGAGAAATAAGACGCCAGGAATATTAAAATGGTATACTATACCGACAGGTTGGTAAGTAAGACACATGTGCAACAGTTAGGTACTTTATTCGGGAAAAGTTTTCCCTACACAGGCGGCTTCTTCAGTCGTGTACAGAAGAGTGAGCAGAAGCAACAGAGATGTATACATCACGAGTTACTACAGTACCACTATGACTTTGCAAGACCGATTCTGAGGACAGTGTGCATGTAGAAGTCTAAAATAAGCTCCTACCATCGCTACGACAATGTTGAGTGAACAGAGAAGAAAAAACTAGACTCCCGCCCCGTCTTGTTTACACCAGTGTCTGCCCCATGACGATATTTTTTCACTATTTTTTTTAAAGTTACTGAAAAATTTCCGAAAAAAAACTTTCAAAAATCTTACTTATCATTGTCAGGAGGGGAAAGGGAAAAATTTCACAATAACAATAAAAGTGGCTACTAATAAAAAACCTTGAGAAACACAAACTTATTTTTTGGTGAGGCTTTGCTTGTCGGGTACACCACCAAAAAAAAGTCTAAAAAAAATATCACTCAGGGGAAAAATAATTATGGAATACGAGCTATGAATAATTCAAACAAGTCACACCTAACCTATTATATGATTTATTTTATATTGTATAATTTATTATATATTATATTTATAACTATATGCTATGCAGTCTTAATATTCATAATTGCATAATCTTGGTATAAATATCGAGTCAAGGAACTTGAGCTAGATGCCCTCTCCTCGGATCAGAATCCATCTCCCATTTCCCAGGAACTGGGTAACCCCCTACGGGTTTAGCCCTGCAAATTAATAATAATAATAATAATAATAAATAATAATAATAGTAATAAAATAATAATAAACAATAATAAGATTATGTAGTTGGGATCACTAGGTGCCGCCCAGGTTCC